GGTCAAGGCTTCTGGGTGGCTTGGAGGGCTGGGGCAGAAGGGGAAGCCCTTGCGGGTGGATTTTCCAGGAGCAAAACATTTCAGGATCTCTACCTTTCTTCATGACCTCCGGAAGGATGGGCTTTGTGCTGATATCTGCCATGCTGTGTGGGATGCCAGGGATTCTGTTTCCCTTTGGCTTCTAACACGCTTCTTCTCTCTCTCTATCTCCCTTTTCCTTTCAGACCCAGCAATCGTCAATGGAGTATATTGGTCCGAATCCCTAAACAAAGTTTTTGTAGATAACTTTGATCGTGACCCGTCTCTCATATGGCAGTACTTTGGAAGTGCAAAGGGCTTTTTTCGGCAGTATCCAGGTGAGTATTCCTGCACTGACAGCTATGATTCAGATTATTGATCCTGTAATATTTTTCTTTAGGGCTAAGGGTAAAAGTCTTTCTATTCCCTTAGAAGAATATGAAAGATTAAGTTCAAATCTATTATCATCAGGGTGCAGGGGAAGAATGGCAAGATGGCATCTGAACATGTGGGTACACATAGCATTGACCCCACGATCCTCTCTGGACCTGCCATGGCTTTGGCATCTTTCTCAACAAAGTAATTCATAGAGCTGCTACCAAAATTGTAACTGGGTGTGAAATGTACCATATTTAATCATTCTGGACAAGTGTTTGGTTTTAGTACTATTACTACTGCCATTATTATAGTAATAATTGTTATTGTTACTAAGGGAAAAGCAAGTCATACTTGGGCAGAGTTAAATTCTGATTAAAATGTGTAAAAAATAGAAAATTGGAACTTGGGTTTCCCCACCCCAGAGCTGGCTCACCTTGGAGGAAGAGGTTGAAATGCCAGAGCATGCTGATGGCAGCAGCCCCTCCACCAAGGCCCTGCAGCAGCACACAGCGTGGGTGTGTCAGAGTTTGTCCATCATGCCTGGGAACAGGTGTTCCTTCTGGAGCCTTCCCAGGCCTCTGCTTTGCAATAGTATTTTAATTCTGGCTTGGTTTGAATTTTAATTAAAAAGGGAAGTTTTAATTTTGCTTACAAGTTGTGGAAACAGGACTTGGGGCTGCAATTGTGCCAGCATCACAGCTGTAGAAATTAACAAGCTCAACCTAAAAGAAGGAAAAAACACCCTGCATAATCTGGGAGCAATTAAGTGAAGTCTTTTATGTTTTCATTAAGTAAGACTAGGCACCTGATGTCTTACCACTTTGAGGCACAGAGACTGCTGGCCTCCGCCTGGAGGAGCTGTTTGCCCTACGCATGGCATCTGCACCTTGAGACTTGCCCGCCAGGGTGTCTGCTTTGCCACATTATCCAACATCTCCCAAGAGCCATGTTCAGCAGGGCACACAAGCTTCCTCCTGGAGCTCACAGAAATTTAAACAATAAGCATCCTATTAAAGATAACGTTATAATAAACAGTGGACTATTAAAGTTCCATTGTCACCAAATTGCAATCTCCTTGATACACTGAACAGAAAACAAATTTGCTGCAGATGTTGCTGAAATGAGAGCAAGTTCCCCACTTTGAGGCACAGAGACTGCTGGCCTCCGCCTGGAGGAGCTGTTTGCCCTACGCATGGCATCTGTACCTTGAGACTTGCCCGCCAGGGTGTCTGCTTTGCCACATTATCCAACATCTCCCAAGAGCCATGTTCAGCAGGGCACACAAGCTTCCTCCTGGAGCTCACAGAAATTTAAACAATAAGCATCCTATTAAAGATAACGTTATAATAAACAGTGGACTATTAAAGTTCCATTGTCACCAAATTGCAATCTCCTTGATACACTGAACAGAAAACAAATTTGCTGCAGATGTTGCTGAAATGAGAGCAAGTTCGGGAGGCTGCTCTGTGTGGGAAGCCACGAGGCATCTAATTGTCTTACAATATGGCATTTGGATGAGGGTGGGACAGAAAGTAGAAACCAAAAGTTATCTGTCATCACTGCCAGCAGGAAGCCCTTAAACTGTGGTCATCAGGACACTGGGAAATAAAGGGAATCCTCATAAAAGGTTTATGTAATAGGGGAGATTAATTTACATTCGAGGTTTTTATCAATCAGAACAGTTGGCTCAGAAGTGCTTACAATTCTTTTATGACATTTTTGGCAGGATTTTGACTTTGTGAAATGTGTATATCTTTAATACGTTAGTAAAGACATGGGGCTCAGTCCTCCAAAGGTGTTTCACTGCCCTGATAAATGTAATGTGGTCACTCAGCTCTTGTTTCCTGGACATAACACGATTGGAAGAGTGATCATGAGCATTTTTGCTAGGATATTTTTCTTTTCAGGATGCTTCTTTCCATTTGTAGAGCAGTAGGATATTATGAATCAGTGGTAAGTGTGCATGTCCTGAAGTAGAAGGAATCTTTTTTCATTATTACATTTGTACATCCTGAGTTCTGGCTTCATACCAAGTGCTGTGTGAGCCCTGAGGATAAAGTGGTGAACTAGACAGAAGAGGTCTCTGTCCTTCTGAAGCTCTCATATGGGGAAATGCATTTATCAGTACTTCGGCTACAAGTGACAGAAGCCCAGTTCAACTAGGTCCAGCAAGAAACACATGTATTGGCTCATGCAGTTCGAAATCTAGGGAGTGTGCTATCGGGGGGACATGGCCGGATTTCAGTACTCAGCAATGTCACTTGGATTTTGAATCTTTCCTTCCTTCTCTCATTTCCACCTTCTTCCATTCTGACCTTGTTTCACTGGCAGGTGACTCCTCGTGATGGGGAGCATGGCTGCAGACTTGCGGATTTCTCACTTAGGGTCCCAGGGTAGGAGAGAGCATCTGTCACAATAGTTTGAACAAAAGTCCAAAGATTAGCGTGGTCTGGGTCACATGTCCACCACTGAAGCCAGGGGGACCAGACAGTGGGTAGGGTCAGTCATCTGAAACCATGGGACTAGACAGGATTACTGTGGCCTTGCCTGGAGTGGAGTCCTAAGGGAAGGGGCATTGGTGAAGGAGCACCATGGGGAAAGAGACAGGTGAACAGATCATCGTGGTATAGTGTGCTTCATGCTAAGATGGGGGAGAGAGAAGGTGGTGGAGGGTCACTGAGAAAGAACACCAATCCCTTTTTCTCAGGGTGGGAGAAAAGAGTTCCCAGAAGACTTTCAGTAATCATTAGCTTAGAAGCATACCTGTGATGATGATGTCCATTTCTGCATGGATTCACACATAGGCTCCACAAATGCAACTTAGGTCCTGTGGGCATGTGACAACTCCCTCGTGCTGTCCTAAAGAACTTTATGCTGTGGTGGAAATGTTCTGTATCTACTCTGTCTAATGTGGTAGCCACTGGCTACTGTGGCTATTGAGCACTTGAAATGTGCCCAGTGAGGCTGGGGAATTGAAATTTGAATTTTATTGAACTTTAATTTAAATTTGAAATTAAATAGCCACATGTGGCTAGTAGCTACCGTTTGAATAGTATAATGCTATAGGAATCAACTTTTGTAGTCTGATACCCAGTTTCCCAGGTACCAGTCTTATTGTTCAGTGCCTGCATTGCAAAAGGGTCTCACTGAGCAGAGGACTGCAGTGAGGCTCTGTGGTTCTCACCTTACAAAGAATGAATTCTAGCCTGAAATCCTGAGCCATCAGGCTTCCATTCCTATCTCCTCTACTAGAATGTCTGCCCCCAGGAGGAGAGACATTTGTGTTGTCCCTCACTCTGTCACCAGCAGCAAGAGTAACATGTTGTAGGTGCTCAGTATGTATTTGATGAATGAGCAAAGCACTGAGTAGATCAAATTCCACCAGGTCTACTGTCTCCCATCACACCAGCAGTAGCAGCCTTCTCTCCTCAGATACAATAGAGCTACTGGCTCGATGGGGAGCTTGTAGGTGCTCAGTATGTATTTGATGAATGAGCAAAGCACTGAGTAGATCAAATTCCACCAGGTCTACTGTCTCCCATTACACCAGCAGTAGCAGCCTTCTCTCCTCAGATACAATAGAGCTACTGGCTCGATGGGGAGCTGGTCCCTGGCTGCAGTCTGGTGGAGGCTTGGTGACCCAGCAGGGAGCTGGCACAAATATAGTACAGAGCCATACTCCCTTTCTTTTCCCATTGATCCCCTTTCTCCAAGTCCTCCTAGGCAACTGCCCTTCCCATCATGGTGCTCGTTGAGTCCCGGACACTGGATATCCCTCTTCTATTGGCCAGTACCTCAGGATGCCTCATGACTATCTCATTCTAGTTAGTAGGGTTCCCCAGGCTTACCATCTGCCAGGAAGCAGAGGATCATACCTGCACAGTCAGTCCTTTTCCTGTGAGGCTTGACCACTTCATCATTTTATAACCTTCTGTGAGACGTGATTTCTACCTGGCTCCTGGGTGAGGCCAACAGTGCTAGTTCATCCTTTATGTCTGGCCAAGTGTTAACTTTATCCAGAATCATATGGCTGGCTGACAGTTCTCTGTACCTACTTGTCCTTACCTACATAGAGAGAAAACTGTGTCTGTACATCATGGACAGGTCAATATCTAATCAAACACAGGACACCAGTTAGGTTCATACATGATATTAAGAAGCGTCAGTCCCATCCCCAACATCAGACTCCCACTCTTCTAGAGCCACGTCATGGGGGCTTGTGCATCCAGAATCCTTGATGACCACAAAGAGAATTGATTTTCTTATCCTTGTGCCATGATTTGGCTGCCATAGGAAGGTGAAAGCTGGTTTGTAGCTATAGCCATGAAGAAGGAGATAGCTAAGTAAAGAACTCCCTTCAAGTCTGGACTCATGCTGTTTGCTAGTTTCACGTTCAGGTTCTGTGCACAGCATTACTTTGTGTTCATTCTCTTGCCCACCTTCCTCACAAGGCTCAGGTTTGGTGATAGGGAAAGTGTGATTAGTATTAGGGTTCTCTTCCTTGGCCAGCTCAATGATACTACCCAATAAAAATGATAATGGAAAATCATAATTCATAATTTTCATAGCAACTCTCTTGTCACATACTCATGTATCATTGTGCATAATCTTTCAAGAGATTAAGGAAGATGGCATTTGGTTGAATGAAGGAGTTCTTTTTAGAGGAGTGCATAGCCAAGACATTTAAAGGCCAAATTTGACTCTGGCTCAACTCACACTAGATTCTAGAGCAGATATTTTAGATCTAAAGTTACACTGGAAGGTACATATTTACACTTTAGATTATGGACCAATTATACTTATGTTTTGAGGAAGCAATTGAGCAGCACCTATTCAGTTAGGGATACGCCAACATGACCTACCTCTTGATTTTACTTCCTTTCTTTCCACATCATTCTGGACTTTTTGCTTTCAAATAGGGAAGAGAAATGCCCTGTTGCAATGGGATAGTTCAAGTGCAAGGTCGTGGAGCTGGTTTAGATGTCATTGGCAGTGCCTGGGAGGCTGCATGGAAAACACTTTGCACTAAAGAGAAGAGAAGCAATGGGCTAAGGCAGCCTTTACTGAGGTGGGGAGAAAGGGGGAGCTCAGAGCCAAGCAGAAATAAATCCAGAGGGCAAAAGATGTTTAGAGTTTTACTGTGCTATTTCTTGTAGTCCTTCGTAGTTGTATTAGTCTCAAACCTTGTTGCCACATGGAATTATGTCGGTGGCATGAGGCTCGACCTTTAGACAATCTTGTATTGGGCTCTGCTCTGTTGGCCCTACTGTTCATTTTTATGTGCTAAAAGAGAATGTGAAGTCATATGTTGTCTTAGATGAAATTAATTTCCTTCCAATATTAGTTTGTAATGCCTGTGGGAGAGAAACTGTGGAATATAGTAATGTTGCACAATATTTTAAATACACTCACAGTTGAGCACTTGCATTTGCAGTTGAGATTTCAACATTATTTTCAGTTTCACCTATGGATCTGCCAACGTTCTAGAAACCCTCTGAAAGCTGTGGAAGGCAGGCTAGCATCACTGACGCTGACGATGGAGCATAGAATGCCTTGGAGAGAAGGCAGGATGGCAGCTAGCTGTGCTACTGAGCTGCATTGTTCCACTCCATCCAGCCTGGGTGGGATTCCAAAAGGCACACTGGCACTTCCAGAAGTTACATGGCTTGTAGGGTGCTTCTTGGGATAAGTGACAATTCCTTGTATCTCAACTATTGAAGATGAGCCAACTGTTCTTCCTATGAGATTTGAAGTTGCTTGAACATTTTCAAAATATCTGTGTGAACAAAAAGTTATATACTAAAAAGTTGTTATATCTTGGGAGAAGGTTTCCTGAAGTTTGTCTCCTAATGCATTTTTCTGTCAGATTCTTGGAGGAGGAAGGGCTTCATGGTCAAGTTATTTTGGCAAAATACTGTGTCGGGTGTCCCTGACATAAAAGGAATTCAAGATGCACTTGAGCAGATTAAAGACCTTCAGATGTTCCTCCTGTGACATAGAAACTAGTTTTGCTTTTGTTCACTTAGGTCATGTTAACATTCTGTAACTTCTCACAGAAATGCCCGTGTAAGGAAAGGAATGACAGCGTGGGAGTTGGGAGAACAGGTCTCAGTCCTAACGGGACGCCTCAGGAAAATCTGAGGATTTTGGCACAGATGTCAGGATTGGGCAAGATGATCCCCCAGGGCTTATCCAGCTCAGACTTTGAGTCAAAGTACGATGGTTATTGTAACATCCAGGGCAGCCGTGTCTGGAACTGCCTGGAGGTACTGTCTTCATCCCCCCACTCAATGCATTCCTTGTGTCCTGGCAGTGAGAGGCCTGGGCCTCCAGTTCCTGCTGCCACGCGGGCTCCTTTCCTCTGGCATGGACATTCTCTGTGCACGGCCACACCAGCATCCCTTCAGTTGCTCGAATTGATGTACTCTTCTCAGTCTGGGGACCTTTGCACATGTTGTTCTCTCTGCCTGGGGTTTCTCCTCTACCCTGTCACCAGCCCTCACTCTTGTTTAACAAGTCCTACCCATATGTAGTAGGTTGAATAGTGTCCCCCAAAATTCATGTCCACCTGGAGCCTCAGAATATGACCTTAGTTGGAAACAGTCTTTGCAAGTGTAATTAGTTAAGTTGAGATGAGATTATACTGGATCAGAATGACTGGTGTCCTTCCAAGAAGAGGAGAGGACACACAGACACAGAGGGAAGACAGTGAAGTGAGGACTGAGGCGGAGGTTGGAGTGATGTAGCCATCAGTCCAGGAAGACCGAGGATTGCCAGGACTAGCCAAAGCTGGAAGAGGCAAGGAAGGATCTTACCTAGAGCCTTCAGAGGGAGCATGGCCCTGCTGACACTTGACCTTGGACTTCTAGCCTTCAGAACTATGAGAGAATACATTTCTGTTAAGCCACCCAGTCTGTAGTACTTTGTTACAGCAGCCCTAGCAAAGTAATGCACTGTCATTTTGCTTTCAGCTCAAAGGTGCCTTCCTCATGTTAGGGATTAGAATTGGCTTTGTACACTAACATAGCATCAGGTGCTTCTCCCTTGTGGCATCTCTGGTAGTTGTGATTTCTTATCTAGTGTCTGCTTCCCTGCTGATTGGGAGGCTTCCTGAGGGCCAGCACAAACCAGATCCATCTTTCTCAGTCACTGCTGTCTGTCTCTTCTCCCTTGTGGCATCTCTGGTAGTTGTGATTTCTTATCTAGTGTCTGCTTCCCTGCTGACTGGGAGGCTTCCTGAGGGCCAGCACAAACCAGATCCATCTTTCTCAGTCACTGCTGTCTGTCCACCGACTGGCAGAGTGCTTGCCCATGTGATGATGATTGCGACTAGCAGGCAAAAGGCTCTGGGTCATTCCATTTGATCCACTTTCATACTAGAGTTATATTCCTTACTGGTTTTCCCAGCAGACTAATTTCATATAAACTTTTCAAAAAGCACCAAGTTTCAGCAAAGCCTGGGAAGAGTTACAAACCCATGTATAAGAAGATGGTCTCGGGCCGGCCTGGTGGTGCACTGGAGAGTGCGCTGCTTGGGAAGCGCGGCGGTGCTCCCGCCGAGGGTTCGGATCCCATGTGGAGACCGGTTCCCGCTCACTGGCTGAGTGCGGTGCGGGCGCAACACCGAGGGTTGCGATCCCGTCACCGGTCAGAAAAAAGACAAAAAGGAAAAAAAAAAAAAAAGAAGATGGTCTCAATCCAAAAGGAGATCATTTGAGCATCATTAATTCCTTCTCCCAGGCACCGACCTAAATGTTGGGGCCATAAAAGAGAATAACGTATTTCTGCTCCCTGTGGAGCACACAGTGACGGGCTGTGATGGGGAGGAAGGACAGCAGAGCCAGAAAACGGTGGTGGGTGATTGCAGTTTACACAGGTGTGGCCATGATCTGAGAACACTCACAACAACTCAACTCAAGAAGCATCCTCTGAACACCTACCATGGCCCAGCACATTTAGAAAACAAAAAAATAAAAAAATTCTCTTTACACTGGACTCAAATTCTTTGTGGAATTACGCCTTGGAACATTGCCTCTCCTCACCAGGAGTATGACTTCACTGTGTCAAGACTGTGCCATCCTAACTGTATGTGGCTTTACACAAAGCAGTGTGTCAGATATGTTTTAAATAAACTGCATTCTTGTCCCTTGGTGTACAATATCATGTCAGTTATATGTTATCTTTATTACCTAATGGTCTTCAATTGGCAATAGCTTCTCATACTTCTATTTTCTTATTTCTTATAGGGAGCTGTTTAAATTAGGCACATGTGCAGGTGGGAAATGTAGGTACAAAGAGGACAGAATGAATTATCTCCTTGCATTCCCAACTGCCATCTCAGGGTTCTCTGTGTAATCATTCAGGGATGTTATCTTAAGCGCATGCCTGTTAGTAGCCCAGTGTGGTCTGGAAAGCTGGCCATTGTTAATTGGAGGATCTTAATGCTACAATCTGAGTCAGGATTTTCTCCTGTGAAAATAATTTTTCATTTTTATTTTCTTACCTCCACAGTTTGTTTCAAACCCTCCATTCCTAAGCAGCACTGATGGTAGAAAACAATGATTTTCTATCTTATTTTTAAGCAGCAAATGCCTTTCATTTTAAATGAAATTGTACGCTTAGAAACATAGAGAATGTCACTGTTTGATATATCCTGACTGGTTTGCAAACCACTAGACTAAGGATGATGGATCTGATCTTACACATGGGGAAAACTCCCCAGGCTTCAGGACCTCAAATTCAAACTATTATGCAGCATAATTAGAGCATTTTTATTTCATTTCAGTGTGGAAAACCAGACCAAGATTCCTGGTTTTAAAAACAGGAGTGAGGAGAGAAGAGACCTGTGTATATTCTGAGATGGACGCGTTGTATCACATGCTTCCCACCCCCCCATGCTGTAGACATTACTTCACCCGAGTCCAAGGGTGGAGTCTGATCCTGCCCAGAGGTCTATGAATGATGCCACCAGGTCCGATGACTTGCTGGCTGGTGAGAAATGACCTTGGCTACCTTTATCATCAGCTAAGGAAAGGGGCTGGTATCACGTCCTCTTTTGAGGGACAGCATGATACTAACATAGTCTCCATTCTCCAGCAGGCCTTAGGAGCAACTGAGCTACGGCTGTGCTTGCTACAGGGTTACAGCCTATGAGCTCTTCCCAAAGTTGGTGATGGAGCACGTGATGGGCTCTAGGGTTGGTCTTTGCATGTGATTTTTCACCCTGTCCATTCAATCAGCAAAGCAGAGCAGCCTTAAAATGCTGTGAATAAATATTTGAAGTTTCTGGGTTTCTTATAACCCCATTTTTCTTCTAGGGATTAAATGGGAACCAGATGAGAATGGAGTCATTGCCTTTGACTGCAGGAACCGAAAATGGTAAGCAGTGGTTAAACCTCTCAGTTATTTTTTAAAGAGAAAACTAGAAGAGAGGTGAGGATTTATTTTTACTTAATCTTCCCCTGACCTAGGTACATCCAGGCAGCGACTTCTCCAAAAGACGTGGTCATTTTAGTTGACGTCAGTGGCAGCATGAAAGGACTCCGTCTGACCATCGCGAAGCAAACAGTCTCATCTATTTTGGATACATTGGGGGATGATGACTTCTTCAACATAATTGCTGTGAGTGCAGCCGTTTTGTGCTTTTTTTGCACTTTGGGTTCATTTGATCTTTTAGCATCAACCAGTTAACATTGTCATTGCTATGGAACTCATGTCATCTAGATGCCAGAGGTCAGTCCCTTGTCAGTTCACTGAATCACGGACAGTGGAGGGACTTTTGGAGAATGGGAATGCAGTTCAGCCCATTCCCTCTTTTAAGCTAGCATGTAGTCATTGTCATCTGGAGGAGTAGCACCAGATTTGGTATTCCTGGGGAGCCAACCTTTTCAGAACCTTGGGGAATAGACCTAGCAAGATTTTCCTTAAACTGATAGTTTCTCACATGGAGATTAAGTTAGATTAGCCTGATGATAAAGATAGTAATAATAATAATGATGAAATGACTAATACGTAGAGAGCAGTTTATGGCTCACAGAAAGTTTCTCACATGGAGATTAAGTTAGATTAGCCTGATGTTAATGATAGTAATAATAATAATGATGAAATGACTAATACGTAGAGAGCAGTTTATGGCTCACAGAACACTTTATCTCAGTTTCGGAAACACAGGTGGCATTTATTAGGCCCCGACTGTGTGCCTTACTCCTCCTGTTTGTATGATCTTTGTTTCTCATAGCAAGTCCAGGAGGTAGGAGGTGGTCTGGGCATATTCTCAAGTGATGATGCTGAGATTAAGAGAGAGTCAGTAACTTATCCAAGGTTACACGGCTGGGAAGTGGGAGATCCAGGGAGCACGCTGAGGCCAGGCAGTTACCTGTGGCCTGGAAACAAGAACTTGTTCAACTGTCCACCTCCAGTTCTTTTTCTTCTTCTTTTCAACTCTTTGGGATGATTTTCATCCTATCCCTTATGTCCCTCCCACTCTCTTTCCAAAGACTGACTTCACAATGAGCCGGATTCTCTTCTGTGAGTGCTTAACCAGGTGCTCGTGTGTGCTGCATGCTTGTGCTTTGCCATCCCACATCTATTTGGGGCATGAAGTGGTTGCAGTAGGTGATGGAGGCAGTGTGGTGAGGGGGACAGAGCATGGGTTTTGGAGCCAGGACTAAGTTTTGAATTCTTGCTCTGCCACATACAGCTGTGTGTTTGGGGCAAATAACTTTAATCTGGGCAACAGCCCTCTCAACTGTGAGGGACCTTGTTGAGCAGGGTTGCTGCCAGGATTATCTGAGCTGACGCACCAGTGTCAGGCTGGTGCTCAGGACTCTCTCAGCCAGTGTTAGGATATGAAGTAAGATGGTACTTTGCAAATGCTGTTCCTGTGGTCTGCAGGCCTTTGCCAGACCCTTGAGCAGAGGATCTAGTCTCGGAACCCTATATCTGGGCAGCCTTCCGTGTGGGCATGAGACCCACTTGTATTGGCTAGGCAGAGGACACGAGTGTTTAAGTGACACTGGGATTGCAGAGCAGATTGCTTGAATTAGTGTCCTGTCTGCATGCTTCTTCTGATGAGACTCTCAGAACAGAAGGGCATGACTGCAGTGAAACATGATTTATAGGGAGATTTTTAAAAGCCTTGAAGAGGAAAGGGAAGAGCAAGAGAATAGTAAATTCCTTGGAAACAAGGGTTAGTTTTGTTCATTCATGGGTGTATCCCCAGCACTGAGGACAGTGCTTGTGAATAGCAGGAGTTTAAATGTTTGTTGAGTGAATGACAGCAGCTGCCATCCATAGAGTGCCCACTGTGTGCAAGCCTTTTGCTAAGCGTCCTCTGCAGATTGTTTCACTGACCGTTCACCCCAGCTCTGTGCCATGTGGTATGGAGACAGAAACACGAAGTGGCAGAAGTACCTGTCTCAAGGTCACACAGCTAGAAGAAGTGGCACACTGAAGATTCAGACACTGTCCTACTTTTGTAGGTGATGTGCTCAACCATCACCTCTGAAATTATGTGGCCCCTGGAAACAGTTCTTTGGAAGGAGACTTTCAGATAGTTAGAACTTAGGGTTTTCTGACCAAGAAAAATTACTCTAGTCACCAGCCTCGTTGTGAATATGTAAATGTGCCCAATCCCCACACATCCTGAAGCATTTACAGATAAGAAGCAGCTAATTTGAGACTATCTTTCTTATTAATCTTTAATTACTCATTACAGAAATATCAGAAATTCGCATAGGAAGAAGAGCTAACTAATTACATCGTGAATCCTTTATCAGTCAGGATTTATTGTTCTGTTAACAAAACCCATTGATTGAAACAATCTATGTAAGTTCATTAAGATCTACAAACAGTATCAACTCAATAATGAAGAGAGGGTTGATTAAGATAATTAAAAGTAGGCATGCCAGTTATTACAGAATAGTTAAGAAAAGAATTTTTTCCCCCAAATTGTCCCCGTATATAAAGAAACCCTTAGAGGTCCCATTAGCCTTCCCTGTACATCTGTTTGTTAGTTTTCAACATAAATGATCAGCTTCAAGACTATTTACATAATTATTTTGACAGCTAGAGAGAAACTGAACTATTAAAATTTGAAGCCTTTATAGTAAAATCATGAACTCTGTTTGCCTAATGGGTAAAGGATTGGTCAGGTATGTTAGTGAATTTATATTAGAAGACCGAGGTCATAATGGACCATCAATTAACAGTAACGTTTGATGGTTTTTTAATGTAGGCAACATATGTAAGAATTTTAAACAATTCAGAAATGTTCTCATTCCCTTTCTATTTGGCATATATTCTTCTAAATTTTTCTAAGTATATGCACACACATAATGTTTTTGCAAAAATAGAATCATATTTTACAGAATATTCAGCAACTTGCCTCTATACTTGTAATGCAGTTAAATGTGTTTGAATGGCAGGGCATTTCATCACATATAGTTGATGTAAATTATTTAATCAACCCCCCTTTGCTGGACATTATACTAATACCAATCTTTTTCCCACTCAAGAGTCCTGCAATAAATGAACTCTTCCCTGTATAGAATACACTGAAGGGAATGCATGTATTTTTGCAGGGTTGAGTGTGCTTCTATTAAATAAAATCTAGAAGTGAAATTGCTGCACCAAAGAGTATGCTCTTAAGTACTACCAAAATGTCCACCAAGCAAGGTAAACATTATGTTTATGCACTTACCAACCGTTTGAGGTTCTAAATCATAGTAGATTCATAGTTAGCAAATTTTCATATGCATTCCCTTGTATTGTCTGTCTCTCCCAACCCTCAGTGTTTCACCAATTTAGCCTGGCTGTATATCTCTTCTTTTCCTCCACCACCTCCTGCTTCCACCCTGACATACTTCCTCTAGTAACATGGCATGGGTTTTCTCTCAATCTGTTTAAAATGGTCACATGCCTCCAGTCTAGAGGGCGATCCAACTGCAGGTTCTTATAAGTGCAGGGGATGGGACACTTGCAACCATATCCAGAATACCCTGCAAATCTGGGTGCATTGTTCTCAGGCTGGATTCCATTTATGCAGTGAGAGAAGGAGGAAGGAGTTGACATCCAAGGAGGAAGATGTCAGTTTCAGGTTGTAGGGCCTCCCCCACCACGAGAAGGAGTCCAGTGTGTCTAGAGCATATTGGGGTGGGGGTGGAGTGGGATAGATGGTGATGGTGAAAAGAAGGGGCTGGATTGAGAGAGGCAAGCCAGACCAAACAAGCCTGGCCAGCCATGTGGAGGAACTGGGACACTGTCTGGAGGCAGTGGAGGGACACGGAAGGAGTTTCAGCTTCTGGGTGACATGTCGAGATGATCCATAAAGTCTCTCCCTTCTTAGGTCTTTCCTCAGCCTTTTTTTTCAGGCCACTGGTCGTCTTCTGTTAGGCCTGAAAGCTGCGTTGCTTTCGTCCAAGTCCAGCTTCCAACATTCAGCAGCGTGCAGATTACTCAATATCATCCAGAACCCATAGTCACTGATCCTCCATTGTCCCATCTTTGATCCGTCTTCTGTTAGGCCTGAAAGCTGCGTTGCTTTCGTCCAAGTCCAGCTTCCAACATTCAGCAGCGTTCAGATTACTCAATATCATCCAGAACCCATAGTCACTGATCCTCCATTGTCCCATCTTTGATCTGGACTTACGTGAACCAACATATGATATGATTTTACACTAATGTGGACTTGTATGGATCTTGGTGGGAGAGACCAGCCCTTTGGCGTTGTTTTCAGATTCTTCTCCAATATTCTCTGGCCATTCATTTAATGAAAGTTACAACCTGCCTTTTCTATTTTAGAATATCATTAACATTCCCATCGAGGAGTTTGCTGTGTCTTTCAAAGGAGAGATGCAGGGAATGCTTACAGAGATTGGGCAAGAGGAAAAAGGGAGATAGTAGTATGCCCCTTGTTGTCAGAGTGTAGAGTTTGGTGGTTGAAGAGGGCAAAGGGAAGGACAGTTCCCTTGAGGACAGAGGAGTGGGATGTAGTCTAATACCCATTTTTATTTTTGGATGGATCATTGCATGTCACAGATAAGAACTTTTTATCATGAAAAAGAAAAGCAGACATTATCTTCAGATGTAATGAGCATATTATTTTACTAATAAAAGTAAGAAGAAGTGGTTCATGATTACTCCACGATGATAACATGAGCAAATTTTGCCAGTGTTTTATGTCCCTGGCACATTGTAGGTGCTCAGTTAATATTCAATGAGCAAATAAAGGAACGGGGAGTTCTGCTGCACCATCTAGGCTCACAGTCCGCCAAAGACCCAGGTCATTGTGGCATGGAGTGGGACAGTGTGCTGCCAGGCACTGTGGATTTCTATCTTGGGCACTTAGACAGTCACATGTACCTGATGGTGCAGCACCTTGTCCCCAACAGAGTCAGAGTCCCTGCTCTCCAGTGGAGGACAGGGGCATGTGATCTCTGCTCCCAAAAGTGGGCCACATTGCCATTGCCCACACCACCCCCTTTCTACTTTGCAAGTAGCAGAGGATGTCATTTGTTGGTCTTTCCATTTATTTAGCACACCTCACACACGCATATATGTTTTACTCTTCCTTGTGCACCTGTGCGTGTGCACCCTGGTGCCTTCTTTGTCTTTCTTCCATGCTGGACTCTGTGTTGACTGTTGAATTATCTCACTTATCCTCATAGTGGGTTCATGAGAGCAGTGCAGTTAGAATCCCTGTTTCCTAAACACAAAAACTGAGGCGCCAAGAGCTGAGATGTCTTGGCTGAGATCACCCAGCTAGCGTGTGGCAGAACCAGGATCAGAACCCAGGCCTGTCTGTCTTGGCTGCTTTAGCTCTACTGCTCTATCCTCATGCAAATGAGAAGGGGAAAGCAAACCAGGAAGGAGAAGTGGGGAAGAAACTAACAGTGACTGAGACTCTGAGTGTCATGTGGCAGTTTCTAAGCTCTGTAAGGGGCAAAAGTTGTTTGTCCACCTCCTCACCGTGTGCTTAGGAGGCTTGGCTGGACTATCTCCAGGACTGCTGGGCCCTCTCCTCCTGCGAAGAGACTCGTCCCATTTCCCAGAAATTTGCCAGAAGGACTAATCGCTTTGGCAAGAGCGGGAGGTTGGTTGCCCCTGTAGGGTTCAGTTCTGGTGGTGGGAGGGAGTGACAGCAAATGACAGAAGGAAGTTGCATCTGGCCGGTGATGATGAGCTCTGCTTCCTTTTCTTCCACGGACCACTGATATCAGATTGTTTAAGCAGGGATGAAGGAGAGCTATTTATAAGGCCATCGTGTCTTAGGACCAGAGGTGATCAGATCTTCAGTTATAAATGGATATAGCTCTCCTACATTGTTACTTCACAAAATAGAAATCTAGGGAACATCCACAAAAATGCAGAAACTGAAAACCTTCCACACGGAGAACTACTAGGAGTCTGGAAGCAGCTACAGGTGCAGGGCATCCCTGGTGTCCCCCTTGGGAGGGGCCATTGGGTAGCAAGGTAAGCATGTGCAGCCAACAGGCCTCCATGGCACAGCTGTCTGGAGCACACCGTTCCTTTAGATGTACAGCCGAGCCCACTTCCTCTAGTGATACAGACCAGATTACTCAGCATAGCTTTACCCTGATGTAGTCAAGGGAAATTAGTCAACTGCAAGCTTGGATGATGCCACTAACAAGCTGGCTGGGGTTCAGAAGAGCAGATTCCTTCTCTGTGGCCACAGCACATGCAGTGATGGTGAGCATGGTTTTGATTACTGCACATGTACCTCCCTGATGAGGGCAAGAAGTTCTTGCTCTTCTTTCCTTTTAAGCCCTCTCTGCAGTCCCCCACATGCACAGCCTTTACATTAGCAAGGCAGTTTCAGGTTTGTTGCCTCACTGGATCCCTACAGAGAGATCTGGAAGGTAAAAGAAGGTGAATTAGCCCATTTTTATGCATAAGAATCTGGAATCAGAGAGGTTTAGTGATTTCCCCAAGGCTACATGGTGAGTACAGGGCAGAGGCAGGACTTAGACCCAAATGTCCTGACTCAAAGCTCAGACTGTCCAACCCGAATCAACTTTGAGAGTGTATATTAAGTAGAATGCTAATGACATATTTAAATTTACCTGGAAAATGGAGCGATAAGAGGAAGAAGAACCAAGGTGGGAACCTCAGCTAGGAAAGTTTTGGGCTATAAATTACAGAACAGCTGAACAAAGCTTGCTTCCACATACAGGCATCTAACAAGTGTATGTGTGAAGCCTGGAGGAGGATAGCTACAGTCTTGATACAGTGGTTCTGCAATGTCATCAAGGACCCGTGCTGGCTGCAGCTTCCTGCTCTGTCTTCCTTGGCTTTGCCTTCCATTCTTTGTCTTGTCACCTCATGGTTGCAACATGGCTGCCACAACTCCACAATAGCATCCCAAGCAGGAAGGAAGGAGCAGACACAGAGGAGTTTTCCTTTAATGGCAGGAAAAAGTTACATTGAAACTCCCCAGAAAACTTCCCCTTAGGTCTCATTGGCTGTGAATGGGTCATTTGACCACTGCTAGCTGCAAGACAGGCCATGGAAGCATGTATCCAGCAGAAGGGAATTGGATAGCTTTGCTTGGCTAGGGCCAGTTATGCTTCAGGCCTTAGGAATGGGCATACTGTCACCCTAAATCAAATCAATCAGCAAGGGAAGTGAAGGACAGGGGAGTGGCTGTTTTCTCACCACTTCCAGTGTTAGTCCAATACAGACTGAAGAAGTTCTTCTCCATGTTGGACTGTGCAATTTCCTCCCAGGTTCAATTGTTCCTGGTTCCATTTGTTGACTAAAATCCCACTTTCATTTCTTAATGGTTCATTTCAGAACTGCAAAAATATATTTTTCCCATGCCTCATCAGAAGATATTTAAGCCCTAAGATCATTGGAATATAATATTTCAAATGCTTTTGTATGACCAGGAAAAAAGTCTAAAGAGGGGGTAAAAGTCAAACTGATGGGGAAGTATGGAGGCTTGGGGACTAGAGAGGAGTCGTGGGGGGCTTTGAGGTCCTCAGGTGAGTGGCTGTGAGGCCAGACTGCCTGGGTTTGAATGTGGAATTTACCTCTTACTTATTCCCTGGTGACATTGGTCAAATGAATCATTCTTGCCCTGCCTCAGATTCCCCATCTGTAAAGTGGAGTGATGGGAAATACTTACCACAGAAGGCTGAGATAACCTGTGAATGAAGTTTAGCTGTGCCTAGATGAAATACTCAAGAACAGTTAATTGCCAATGTTGGTATTATCACTACTCCCACTTGCTTAGTGAGCCTCTCTGCATACAAAGCCTGATGTATTCCTGTTGCTGTTGTACTAGCTGCAGGTCTGGCCCCTCTTCGATCTGTCCCTGCAGTGTGTCCAGACTGACTGCCCCAAGCTCACCTCTTTATTTCACTTACTCCCCTTTTCCAAGCCCTACCATGGTCCTCGTTGGCCACAGTCTATAAATCCAAACTCCTTTGCCAGACTTTGTTCAAGAGCTGGGCTCGTTCTAGTCTCCTCCTTCAGGAACCCTGGATTGCTTTGGCCACTAAACTGGAAACACCATGACACTCTCATTGAACAAATGGTTATGGGGCACCATTTGGGCCCAGCTCTGTGCTTGCCCTAGGGAATGCACTGAGGGACCAGATGTGGACCCTGATGATGTGGCCCCACCTTGTCGTGGGGGATCCAAGCAATAGGAATTAGAATTTACAGGCAGTATACAAGAGAGGGGCCTGACCTGGTGCCTAACCTGCACCAGAGGCTTCTTCCCGGGGGAGGTGGGAATGAGATGACCTAGAGGATGGACAGGAGGCAGCCAGAGAGAGGAGATGCCAGAGCCAGGGCCCAAGGCAGAGGAAAAGACAGCAGCACATGTCAGAGAATAGGAAGAGAATTAGGGCTGTCCAGAATAAATTTTTGGAGAGGGCTAATGAGTGAAGATGCTGCAGTGGTCAGCAGCGGCAAGTGTCCAGAGCCCCTTAAAGCCCTGGGAAGATTCATCTGTATAGAAATGGGGAGCTGTGAACAGGGTTGACAGAGGTGACATGGTCAGATTTGTTTGGAAGGACAAGCCTAGCTACAGTGCAGAGAACCAGGCTTGATGAGAGAAATGAAGAGTAGAACACCCAAATTTCCACTTCCTCATTGTGAGCTTCGGACAAGAATAAAGGTTCATATTCTGGGTATTCTGGGATTAAAAGTGGTGGGAAGGTAGGCATTGGCAACATGTGGAAGATGGTGTCACTGTTCACAAGCAGTGCCATGATCAACCAGAGTGACCGGAGAACATCAGGAACATCCTTTGCTCCACTCTGCCCTCACTTCTGTGGACTGGCAAATGTATGCCTTGGTTCCACGAAGCCACAGACAAGAGCTGGAGCTGTTTCCACCCAACTCTGGGATGCTGCTCAGATTCCACCAGAACCGTGGGCTACTGGCCAGCTCAGGGAGGCCCCAGTGTTTGTCTGGAGCCACCCCATTACAGTTAACAGTGTGCACCGGAATCCTGTCATAGTCCGGCCCAGGCTCTAAATGTTTCTCCCTCAAATAAGAACAGAATAACGTCTGTTTTTAGCACTCGATCACAGTTTTCTACAGGGGTACTCATGCAGAAAGTCACCTTATGTGAGTAAATTGAGCTGTGATTGTGCTGATTTTTTGTTTGTTTGTATATATCCTTAAATTATTAAGAAGTACCCTTTAAGTCCTTAATTTAATGCTTCCCATTGGCTGTTTCTTCCCTTTGCAGTATAACGAGGAGCTTCACTACGTGGAACCATGCCTGAATGGAACGCTGGTGCAAGCCGACAGGACAAACAAGGAGGTAGGGCTTGCCGCTGGGTGGGACGTCCGGGCTCATGGCACACTCCTGTCTCCCTCACAGTGATAGTTTACAATAAATCTGTCTTAATTAGAAAAAAAACCAAAAAAACAAAAAAAAATTCCTCATCTAATGTACTGCCCTTTCATTGAGGCCCTTTGAGCCCCAATGTGTAGAATATTTATTAAGAGTCACAAATAGAATCATGGTACTGAAATAATGACATTGAGCTCAGATGCTTGCTGATTCTGAAACAAGTGCATTGACTTTTTTCCTCTTGCTCTAAGCACACCGTCTGTTGTGCTTGACACTTACGTTGGCACCGTCGAAAGAATATAGCTCTTATTGAAATTTCAAAAAAAAAAAAGCTGAACCCACCCGTTCCACACCTCATTGCACTTCTTACAGTTGATGAAATAATCTCTAGGGTAGCTGTTAGGGTAACTTGCCTATTGATTAGAAGGTAAGTTTTACAAGGATAGGGCTGGTCTTCTCACTATTGTATCCTCAATGTTCCAAGCATTGCCTGTTCCATGAAAGAATATAGCTCTTATTGAAATTTCAAAAAAAAAAAAGCTGAACCCACCTGTTCCACACCTCATTGCACTTCTTACAGTTGATGAAATAATCTCTAGGGTAGCTGTTAGGGTAACTTGCCTATTGATTAGAAGGTAAGTTTAACAAGGATAGGGCTGGTCTTCTCACTATTGTATCCTCAATGTTCCAAGCATTGCCTGTTCCATAGATATTGCAGAACAAAAGGAGGACATGTTAAAGAAGAATCTTAGGAAATTGGACAGGAGTTTCCCTTCCAGTTGGAGCATTCCAGGAAAATTTCTGAACCAGACTTCTATAAAATTAACCCTGTTTCCCTTTGACTGCCTTTAAATTTGTCAGTACAACCACCACAGCCACCACTATGCCACCCCTACAGGGCCAGTTGACAATTTAAGTTGAAGGTAAAGCTGTGGCTACTCCTGGGACTCAGAGCTGCCATTGTCCATGATGTTTTACTGTCCCTGTCACAGAGGGCTGTTCTTCTGGAGAGCAGACCCCCACAGAGTAGGGAAAGTGATGGTCAAGGTAGCCTTTTGTGAGGCACGGTGCGTGTGATGGAGAATCTCCTGGCCCAAATGGGTCGTGGTAGTGGTGCTATCTTAGATGCTGGTGGTAGAAGCACTTGGTCTGCGTGTCCCTGAGGGAGTGTGCAACAGAGGATTGGGAGACATTCATTCCAGTTGGAACCCAGAGTGAGAAAAAAAATTATACCAGAGTTAATATCTGAGCTTCAATTTGAGGGGGAAGAAGCACCATAACAAGCTTCATTTTTAGGAGGGAGAAATAAGTGCATTGTAGATTGAAGAAGAAGTGTATCCTGGGAATGTTGATTCGTGATTATTTTCTAGGCTAAGGAAGGGAAAAATGACTGACATCTATAGTCAGATTTCTCCAGGAGCTTTCCCCTTATTTGGCCATTGCCTGGGTGAAGATTCTACTCCCTTTCAAATATTATAGCATTGGAATGTACTCCAGAGCCTCAAATAGTTATCCGATGATAGTGTTTACAACATTAAACAGAAAAGATGATTAAATGATCAAAGCCTTCCTTCAAGTGGCTTCCCAAAGGCAGTGTGATATTTGGAGGTATAAAGTTTTTTATGACTGAAAAAATTGTTAGAGGAGATGGGCTAGAATTTATTTAAAATTGCCTTTGAATTTATGGATGTTGAAGACTGGAGTAGTTTCGAATATAAAAATTAATCCAGGCTTCTGATTCTGCCAATATGGAGTAAAGCCACATTCCAGTCAGGTTCTCCCCCTTCTAACTAAAAAAACTGAACAAAACACAAAAAACAAATGTAGAAAGGCTCTAAGAAGTAGAAATGAGAAGGTGTAGTGCCTAGGGCCTTTGGGACTTAAATACATGGAGATGAGTTCCTGGGATTTTCTTATTGACTCTTGTATATCTTGACTAGAGCATTTCAGAAGCCTCCCACCTGGACCAACAACAGGCATAGACAAAAAACAAAACAAAAAACAAACAAAAAACTCCCAGGAAATCCTGTTCTCTCTAGCCAAAGGACCACGGAAAACATTTGTGACAATACCTTTCCTCCTTTAGCCAAACACCAATGGAACAATCATAAACCAACCCTCCGTGGTTTCAGTAGGGCCAAACAGGAAGTTGATCTTCCACCCCACTTATACCACTCGGCCTTTATGCTGTACCTCAGGAGAGACTGACTGCTAAGAAAAAAATTAACTAGGACTCTGAGTCTCATAATATAAAACCCATAATGCCCAGAATGTGATTTAACAAAAAATACCTTACCCCCAAAACCAGAAAAATCGTAACATGAATGAGACAAGACAATCAACATAAGCCAATATGACATAAATCAAATTTTGGACTTGTAAAACTGCTTCAACAAGCAAGTAGGAATTCTCTTGAAACAAATGAAAAAATAGAAAAATCTCAGCAAAGAAACGGAAGCTATAAAATAGAGCCAAATGAAAGGTATAGAACTGAAAAATACAGTCACCAATATAAAAAGCTCACTGGATCAGCTCAATAATAGAATAAGGAGGACAGCGGATAGAATCAATGAACTTCAGGACAGATCGATAGAAATTGCCCAGTCTGAGCAACGGAGAGAAAATAGACTGGAACAAAATGAACAGAGTCTCAGGGACATGTGGGACAACAACAAAAGAGTTAATATCTATAACATCAAAGTCTGAGGACAGAAGAAAGAGAATGGGGCTGAATAAGTATTTAAAGGTACATTGGATGAACCCCAAGTTGGGGAAAGGCATAAACATATGAGGGTACTTCAAAAAGTTCATGGAAAGATTCATATTATCTTTTAATTCTATTTTTCCACAAACTTTTTGAAGTGCCATCCTACATGTTTAAGAGGTTGAGAAAACTCCAAAAAGGATAAACCCAAGTAAATCCATGTCAAAACACACCAATATGATTAGACAAAAAATCTTGAAAGCAGCTAGAGAGAAAGGACACATTACTTATTTGGAACATCAATTTGAATGACAGCAGATTTCTCATTCATGAATTTATGGAGACTAGAAGAAAGTAGCATAGCATTTTTCAAGTACTGAAAGAAAAGAACTGCCAGCCCAGAATTCTACATCCAGTGAAAATATCCTTCAGGAATAAAGAGGAAACAAAGGCATTCTCAGATAAAGGCAAACTATGATAACTTGTTGCTGGCAAACCTATCCTTAAAGAGTGTATAAAGAAAGGAAATAACAGAAGAAGGCTTGGAACTTCAGAAAGGAAAGAAGAACATTGGAATGGGTAAAAAATAGGAGTATTATAGGAGAGTATTCTAATTCTCAGGAGGCTCTTAAATCATAGTTGATAGTTGAAGCAAAAATTATAACACTATCTGCTGTTGTACCTAGTGTTTGTTGAGGGAACACTTAAGACAATTATATTTTTGAAGTGTGGAGGGTAAAGGGACCTAAATAGATGTAAGGTCTCTACAACTCAGTAGAAGCAGTAAATGCTGATACCAGTAGACTCTAATAAATTACATATTTATATTGTAAAACCTAGAGCAACTACTAAAAAAGCAATACAAAGTAACTCATTAAAAAGTAACTCATAGGGGGCTGGCCCGGTGGCGCACTGCTACAGTGCGCCGCTTGGGAAGCGCGGCAGCGCTCCCTCCGAGGGTTCGGATCCCACATACAGACTGGCCACTCACTGGCTGAGCGAGGTGCGGGAGCGACACCGAGGGTTGCGATCCCGTGGCCAGCCCCGGACCGGTCTGGGCGGGACACCG